GTCCACGGCTCCCTTGACCAACTACATTCTTTCTGAGGCAGCCTTGTGGGGCTCAGGAGCCCAGTTATGTCACCCCTTGTCTGCAGAGCTGGCAGCCTCTCACCCTTTCTCAAACACCCTCCCTTGTGGAGTGTTCGCTCAGCCTCCTCTCCTCTCCCTTGGAAGTCCCTGCCCTGGTCTCTGAGCTGCCCCCCCCCTTGCCCCAAAGAGAGCTGCCTCCTCACACTGCCCCACAGGGGCCTGGGACTTGTCTGTCCATTCATAACAGCAAGGGCTGGCGGACTGGCTGGCTGCGCTCCCTCACCCACTTGCTTGCTTGCTCCAAGGCCACCTCAGCTCCTGGCAACCCCAGCCCCAGAGGCACCATTCACCTGGGGAGCTGTAGCCAGGGCTGCTGCAACAAACAGCTGTGCAAGCCTTTGGGAGGCGAGACGCAAGAGGGCATCAGAGGAGGGAGGGAAGGAAGGAAAGGGAGACAGAGGCCAGTGTTGCCCGCGGCATCCCTGACCATCATTCAAGGCACCCCAGGGGGCCATGGCACACTGGTTGAAAACCACTGCCTTAAGCTGTTGCAGCAAGGGAAGCGTTAGGAGCTGGTGAGCAAAGGGCAGGTCCTGCATTGGAAGCTGGGAGGCAGTGGTCAGGGTAGTAATAACTGATAAAGTCGGGTTAGGAATCTGAAATGCTCTGAGCCCCCTGGAAGCCTGAAAAATTCCCAGAAAAGGTCTGGGCAGTAAAAATAGTCCTCAGTTCTTTTAGGGGCTATCCCCCTTTGTCCTTCTTGAACCCTCTGAGGTATGTATGCTAGACACTGAGAGGATTCCTTGTCTTGTGAGGTGGGTCTGGAGCCCCCTTTCTCCCCCATCTCTTCCTCCTACCTGCATTTCAGGGAAGCTGAAGTGTAAGGAGCCCAGCACACTGGAGGTGGTCCATCTGGTACCTGAGCCCAAAAGAAGTGAAGGACTGAATAGAAGGGCTAGAGGGGTCCACTGAAATGCCACCATTTCCAGCCCCTCCTGCAGCTGACGTTGAGGTCCTATCCTGACACTAAGGCTGCATTACAGTAGTTGCTCTTGCAATTTCCCCAACTTTTTACTTGCAGTGAAAGCTTGCGATGTTGGCAAGGGAGACAATAACTCTTGGGACCTGTGGGAAATGGAGGAATCTTGTGTTACCTTCCTCGTGGCTGAGCAGCTGTAGGTTTTTTGTTTTTTAATAGGAGGGAGATTCCCAGCTCGTGGAGTGGAATGATGGGAAGTATTAGCAGTTTGAAGGGGCAATGCTGAGCAAAGAGCAGAGGAAGAAGGGCCTCTTTTTTTATTAAGGAACAACAGAGGACAAAACAGGGCTAACAAACACACAAACAAGGGAAGCAAGCATGTAAGAAGTGGAGATGCAGATAACTATTGAAAATCAATGATAATGGTGAAGACAAAATCAAAACTAAGAGCTCATGAGAGGTTGGAAGCTTTCTTGTGAACAGCAATTTTGCCTTCAACCACCAGGTGTCATTCAACACCCACAATGATGGCAGATTAACATTCACAAGAGAAACCACAACCACAACCAAACAACAATGGCTTTTTCGGGGGCGGGGATAAGAGGGGGAGGAGATAAGAAATGTCAACAACATGCTTTCTGAGATATTTCAGCTCAGCTCTAAAAAAATATGGTCTTAATAAGACAAGACATATGACCACTCCTCCATTTCACTTTCTAGTACCACTTGCCATCCACCAGAAGGCAATTTTTGGGTAATCCCTCATGGAGAAGACCTAAATTCTGGTACACACATGCATGGACAACACTTGGAATCTATGGAACCTGTTCTCAAGCAACCATGCTTGTGGTATACATCCACTTCCACAAAAGTAACTTAGTTTGGTTAATGAATTTTCTGCATTTGCACAAAATTCTCATGATGCAGTTTTCATGCTCTTGGAAATGCCATACGTATCAGTGAATGAGAGGCTATATACCCCAGGAAGAGAGCCATGAAAACATGCTTCTCTATGGTACAGAGATAGTAATGGGAAACTGCAGATCACCAAGATTACTGTAAATTTAAATCAACATTTGAAGCAGCAATCATTTGTGTGGCATGTAAAATATGAAACCGTCTTAGCTGTTTCACAGTCACAACTGAAAGTATTTCAGGAGAAACGATATTCTCAGAGACAGAAGAATATGGCCAAAAAAGTTTTGAGGGAAAGGGGCAATGGGTGGTGATCACAAAAAGAGGTGGGTTCAACTTGTGCATGAAACAACTATAAGCATGTTATAATCAGAAGGGCTACAACAGGGATTTGAGATGTAGCTGTAAGATCTAAAACAAAATAAGTTTCGAGATGATATGACCTAGTGTCATGAGTAAACCAGCAGTGAGACACAGAACTATAGCCCACTAAAAGTGGTTACATTCAAAACCTAATATGAAAATACATCTCCGAAATCAACCTTCCCCAAAGAAGCCTCCCAGCCAAACAGAAAAGTGCTGGATTTTTATACCAGACACATTACATACATGTGCCTGTATTTCAACAACCTCCTTAAAGCGCCGTAAAGTAGAAACCAAGATTGCCGCCAGAACTTGTATAATTGCAATGCACAATATCTTTCTTGTAATCAAGGATCCCAGAAGACTTAAGCCTAAGCACTGTATTTCTGGAAAGAGAAAAGGGAAAGGAAGGTCAGGAATATTGAAATAAATGCGTGGTATTGAACACAGAATAGTGTCTTTCCTATTTGCTCCTATTGCACAGAGGGCAGTACACAACATTCTACAAGTGGAACTCTGCACACCCAAGGAAGTTCCCTTTCCTCTCTTCCCACATTCCTCCCATATCTGCTCCAGAGGGTCTCCAACCTTCCAGAGGATGTGCAGGTGGCTGCAGGGTAGAGGTGCAGCTTTGAAAACACAGGAGTTCCTTTCAGAAGAAAGTGGGAGGGAGATTTTTGGGCAAACCATGTGGCTCTGTGTGTGTCTCATCTGCTGAATGTGAATTCTTTTCTTCTAAATGGTGTGTGATTTCTTATTAATAAATATATTTCTTCCTCTCTTGCTCCATTCCCTTTTTTTTTTAAAAAAAAAGATAATTAAATCTGGTCAGCGAAAAAAACTTTTGATTAAGCATATTAAGGCTCCATTCAAGCTCCAAAGTGCCAGGAAATCACAGCTGTTAAGGGCCACTTCTAATGTGGAATGGTACTTTCAGTTTGCTTGTTAGCTGCAGTTAAGTTAGGCAAGATGCAATTAAGTGCAATTAGCCCCATCTTGCTTTGTACCTTGATCATCAGGATACATCTGTAGCGTATGGAGTACGGTATCTGTCATTCCTTGCTGTGTCAACATTTCTAGCGCACCTGAACATTCCACAACAGAAGAAAGTACCTGAAATCCACATTTCTGAATACCAGGATTTCCAATAAACTAGAAACAAAAACAAGTATGGTTATCTTATATGGAAAAAGCAAAAACAAACTGTTAAGTTATTTCTACTAAGTTTTGGAATTAATGCAGGATCAGATGTTACATTTAAAAACATCTATTATTCTGGAAGACTTCTTCAATGCTCACTGAGATTCATAACCACTGCATCACTGCACTAATGCCCTTCAGCTCCAGCACAGGAAGGCAAGCACTGGCCAAATCTAGACATGCCTAAGAGATGGAATACTACTTGGCACAACAAGCCCGGCAGCATCCAGTCTCCTTGCAGAGGTTGGGGTGTGTTGGTGATATGCTGCTTGGACTGCCAGAAATGTGTGCATCAGTACATTAAAGCTCTGGATCATGTCCTCAGAGAGCTCCAAGTGACAGATGAAAATTAGGGACTTCAAATAACCAGGGTAAATAAGTGACTGATATGATTAAATGACAATTATGCCGTGTAGTTGAATAAATCTACATTTCAATACACAAGGCTACAATTTATGTTTTACACTTTAAATATGGACGGAATATTCCAACTTGAGTAGAGAGAAACAGAAGAAATCTTGATTTGAAAGGAAAACGAGACTGAAATTATTTAGAGGGAATTTGCCATGGGAGGAAAAAATCGAGTCATACCGTGTTGAGAGCATCAAGGACTAATGAGTGAGCACCTTGCAACAAACATTGGTTTTTTATCACTTTCAGCATTAGCGCCAACTCTGTATCTCCCAAGTCAGAATTATTTGGTTGCTTTTTCAGCACGCCTGTAACATAAAAAACCCCAAAATATTTTCCTTGTAAAAAGAAATACGTAGTTAAAATGAGTCAAGGATATATAGATCTATATATATGAATCTAAAGGCCAATATTTTCACTTTAAATTTCTCTGGGTATGACTACAGACCAAGTAATCAGCTGTTTGTTTCTCCCTCCCTCTTTTTATATAACAATTTTTGCAATTTGTTATTTTATTTTGCTGATATCTTCAAAAGTAAAAAAGGTTAATTTATCAGTGCCTTATGGTATGCTGGGGAAGACAATACACAGTATTATTATAAATAATTATTATAATTCTAATAACCTAAGGTCCCAGGGTGGTTTACAACTACTGAAACACAGTATTAAAAACAATTCAAAGTAACTTAAATCACAGAAATAAGAAGGGTCCTAAAACATAGACCTCAAGTGTCAAAAGCCAGAATAAAGAGGTACATTTTCAGCACGTACCAAAAACTGCACAGTCGACTTGCAACTTGCATTAAACTTGTGTTTAATGCTTTATGTGCATCATGGCTGGCCGGCATGCAACTGCACAAATTAAACACACACAAGTTGGAGAGCTTAAAAGCTCTATGGCTAACTTACTGGACTCTGGGAAGGTCTTTTTTGAGAGCTTGCATGAGACCTTCCAGAGCCCAGAAAGCAAGACAGAGAACTTAAAGGCTCTTTGTCTTATGTGGGGGACAAGGCCTGTTCGGCGTGCCAGCTTCAGAAATTCAGGTAGGTAGCCATGTTGGTCTGACGCAGTCAAAATATATAAAAAAATTGTCCAGTAGCACCTTAGAGACCAACTATGTTTGTTCTGGGTATAAGCTTTCGGGTGCATGCACACTTCTTCAGATACCAGTATTAAATGTATCTGAAGTGTTAAACATATCTGAAGAAGCGTGCATGCACACGAAAGCTTATACCCAGAACAAACTTAGTTGGTCTCTAAACAGCTTCAGAAAGGCAGGGATGACCACATAGTGGCGGTTCTGCGGTTCCTCTTGCTATACACAATTTCAGCTTTACACACAATCCCCAGAACCTAACACTTGCACAAGTTGCAAGTCAACTATATAATGAAGGTGCCAGATGCAACTCTGTGAGGAGGGAGTTCGGCAACTTACTACAAATTTATTATTATTTCCTGGAACGTAAATTACGATAGCCTCACTTCTGATTTAGGTGCACCTAGTTCTAAACATGCTTTTGCAGACCCAAGTCCCATTCAAACCAGTGGCATCTTATTCTCTATAAATACCCACAAAATCAGATCATTAGTGTTCAATTTCACACATTCTATACCCTACAAAATGTTAGCATTTTAAAAAAGCAAGTCATACACTGAATGAATAAAGGAAAGGAAAGCAAACCCCATCACTGGCTGTAATATGCCAAAATCAATGACTGTTAAATTAAATTACTTTATTTAGAGCATTCTCATGACTCAGTCATGAGAAAATATGCCACACTAAAAATGCAGGCTAAATAAGCTACTGCAAGGGATAAATTACCACTGAATATTTCCCATTTTCAAAATGGAAAAAGCTGCAGGTTTATATACCAGATAGTTACCAAGTTCATTTTGGATTTTTTTTAACCCAAACAACCTGATCCTAAACATGTTTACTCATAAATAACCCACTGTGTTCAGTGAAACTCACTTCCAAAAAACATGCTGAGAGATTACAGCATAATCTGTCTATTCTATTCAAACACAATTAGCAACTTAACAAAGTATCTTCTTTAGTATCAAAATAAACATTGCACATAAATATTGGTTACAGAAATATAGTGCATCACAGTAAACAGCTAAACAAATTATCCTCTAAATGTCAGGATGTAAAATACTACAAATGAGAAATGAACTAGGAGCTCTAAGTTCCATCTTTTTAAATGACATACATGATTGACTGTTAGGCAAAAGAAAATCAACTCACTTTTCCAAACCACCATACACTAATCAATCATACTATTAAGCAAATCAATCCAATTAAATTCCCGGTTTCCTGTACTGCAATACACAAAACTTAATCTAACGACAACTAAGGATACTTTCCATTCAATCTCACTCAAGCACACCATTACTTGACTGATTGTTGCAAGTGTGTCAAACACATTAGTACTCTAGTCTAAACCAATCTCAAATCACTCACCACACTCTGCAAACACTCCCATAATTCAGTCTTACATCCTCAGTCAACAACTTTCACATGTCTACCTCATAAGCCCCACACAAACCTGGACAAATATTGGCATACAAGCAAGCAACAAAACACAAACACTTGTATTTCCCTTTCAGGTGAAAAAGTGGAAATGACACTTACACTAAATATATATAGAACCACAGACCCAGAATTTCCTGTGTCTTGGTGTGTGTATTTTTAGTGTATGTCTTTGCAACTTGAACTAAAACAGGTATGTGACACATTATGGATTAATTTGCATTTGTGAATTAATATGTATTGGTTTGATGTTTTCACTTTGAATAAGTATATATTACAACCAGAATCCATCTAAAGTCAAAACACCTGTAATTTCTGTTAATTTAAATGGGAAAGTTAAGTACGGTACATACTTAAACCTTTCTCACATAAACCAATGGGACCTAAACATATAAAACTTTGTATATTTCCTACAACAACAAGTCGCCCTCCCCCACATAAAATCACTTGGCTTCCTATTAGCAGAAACTGATTAAGTTTTCATTTCCATCACTCTTTCATGAGAAGCCATACAGCAAAATGACTAGGCAGCAGGCTCATTAACTCCTTATTTCTAGTTGCTCATTTAGATTATGATGTAAGCAAATATTCTTCATGCATTTTCTTACCTGAAGTCATAAAATGTAAAATAACTCTTAGTGCCTCCAGCTGTACAGATGGGGATGATTTATGCTTTCTCATAGCCTTTACAACTCTCGATGCCACTTCTGTCATTATATCCAGAGAGGGGAAACTGCAGGATCAACAAACCACATCCTCAAATACACATCTGTTTATTAAATATCCATTCATTTTTACATTATGAAATATTGCATAATCTGTTCTAAATTTTTGTATATTATTTATGTATCCTGGCAAGGATCCAATATAATACACACCTATTTCCTTATACTGAAAAGGGCTGTGATCTTGTCTTTCTTGAACACCAGCCCCTCTCCACTCCAAAGCAGATTGCCATCCATGTGGCAATCTGGTCCTCAACGAAAGGGAATCAAATATCCTACTGGGCATGCTTTGGGCACACCTAACATAGTGCTTTGAAACCTGCTTGGACTAAGAAATACACAAACCACATATTCTTCAACATCATCATCATCGTCTTGATTTCACTACTTACATGCAGCTATGTTGAAAAGCCACTTTATAATCATTACATAGCAGTGGCTGTCACATGGTGAGATTGTGCAGTAATGTGGGGAGCAGTGCCCAAGACACACGGGTAGCTACTAAATATGATAAAATCCAGCATCAACCTGGGTGGGTGGTGGGAGGCCCCTTGACTTAGATCAGCAATGGAGGCCCTCTTGCCTGTGTTTCAGGCATAAGAGATCTGTTATGATGCAACATGAGAGATGCCTTCTCAGTGGTGGCACCTGCTAATGGAATGCCATTCCCCATGAGATATGTAGTAGTATCTGCCACATGTTTGAAAGAAATGTTTTTCCACAGACATTTGTAGAGCATTAGTGTAGCGTTTGCCCTCCTAGGTGTGTGACATCATCATACTGGGTTCATAGGGAAAGGGTTAACTAATTGTAAAATGACTAACCAATGGGAACCCAAGGGGCAGAGTTAACTGTGTATAAGGTTTAAGCACAGAGAGAATTTGTTAAGAGGAGTCAGAGTGGTTGAGAAGACAGTCTGGTGTTAGACGAGAGAGGGAAGATACGTCTGTGGGTTGGGCTAGTCTGGTGTGAGAGAGGGAGAGAATTTGTTAAGAGGAGTCAGTCAAACAGTTGAGATAATCAGTCAGAAGGTATTAGGAAGGTAAAGAGACTAAAGTTAAGATACTGACAGGAAAATTATCTGAGAAACCATAAGCTTGTTAATGTTTGTAAAATAAACTTGGTTTTTTTGGTTCACTTTTAACAACTGACTGGACTCAGTGTTTTACCAGAGAGTAACTGGTTGGTGGCAACAGGGAAGCGATCACAGTGGTGGCACAGGGATCAATAGACTGTTAAATGTCCGGGGACCCTGTGTGATCGACACAATTAGTACTAGGATCTGGTTATGTGCTATGGTTTTGCTGTACTAGTTGTTGTGTTGATTTGGTATTTGCTCCTGTTTTTGTATTATGCACAACTATTCTGCGATTGTTTGTCAATGGAGGGTGGGTTAAAAGCAAGGAGAGTGTCTGTGAGTAACATCAAGGGTTTGAGTGTTTCCAGTTACCACACCCCTTGCCCTTGGAAGCCTTATAAGAAGCTGCAGAAGGAGAGGGACACTAAGCAACATCATGGGAGGAATGTTTCTAGGACTAAGGTGAAACTGTGAAGCTCCCTTGTTATGTTTTCTATGGGATGCTTAATGTTTAAGTGAGCTTCTTATATTTATTGTATAAAATGTGTTTTTGGTGTATTAATATATTTGCTACTGTTTTGCTGTATTAATGTGAAATTGATTTTTAGCATGTTTGAAATGCATCCCTGTTTCTTTGTCGTAAGCTGCCTTGAGCGTGATTTCTTTTCCTGGAAAAGTGGCATACAAATCCAATGAATGAAATGCAAAATTTAAACTTGCTCTAGGATATAATGATACATTTGCAAAATCATGATTCTGATTTTGGGTGTACCTATCGCAGAACTACATTTCGTTACCTTCCTTCGAAAGCACGGTTCAGCAGCTTGCAAGCACTTTCTGCAACTTCCGGGGAGTTGGAGTGTTTCTTCATAATCTCCAGCACATTCATGTGTATTCCTTTTGCCAGCAGAACTGTTCTAATATTTACTACAAGAAGAATAGGGTACTATATGAAAAAGAGCATGAATGTTGGCTGCAAACACCTAACTAACTTTTTCATTTTTACCCAAAAGGTAGTAGACATGTGTAACAATCTACTTCAGGTTGGATGCAGACTAAACGAGCAGTCTGATTTAAGTCTACTCAGATGTGTGTTCTATTGAATTCAATCCAACTGACTCTCTGTTAAGTATGTAAGGGATGTGCAGTCTAAGTTAGGTGCACTACTGAAATCAACAGGACTTTGGTGCCATTGATATAAATGGTATAACGTGCAACCAATTTAGGCTGCAATCCCAACATCACTTACCTGGGAGTAATCCCTGTTGAATTTAATGGGATTTACTCCAGAGTAGATGTGATTTGGATTGCAGCCTTAGTGCAGATCTAGCCCACAATTGCCTGAGATTTGGAATGGGTTTGTGGAGCTGTTTGCAGGCTAACACCTGGAGACCAACAGAACTGATGACATATCATGCGGTGGAACATTTTTAAATACTTTTTTCTTCTTCTTTTTACTTTCCTTTTTTTCTCCTTACTTTTCTGTTATTGGTGTTTATAATTGGAGGGAGCAGTGTGTCAGGTTGACAGCAGAGGATATTGGGGAACTGCATATCTAAAAGAATTTGTGAAAAAATCTAACCAACTATTATATTCACAGCCCCAAATTGTTAATTGTTTGTCGTCCTAGTTAAATCTTAAATTATCACTGGAATTTATATCTGACAAATTCAGCATCAAGGACAGGTTTTGTGCTCCACTCCATCCTCAGGTTTAGTGTTACGCAATCCCTTACCACTTTGCTCCAGTAGAGTTGCCAAGGCATTTGCAGCAGCTTGAAATAATTCTTTTGAAGAATTATGCATCAACATGGATAGCATCATTTCTCTGTGGGCTGGGAATCTAATGCAAACAGAAAAGGATATGATAACAATCAAACATTGTTATAGCAAAAAGAGATGCCAATAAATGTTATTA